CATGTTCTTCAGTGATTACTCATGTTTTCAATTATGATACAGATACAAATTTATAGTCTTCTTCTTTTCCTCCTCAACACCAAGCATGTTCTTTCGTAATTCCACATCAGTTAACAATGAAATGCACTATTACAAATAAATGCATTTTCTTAATGGAGAAGGAAAAACAATGTAAAGTCTCCACAGATAAAGAAGGAAACAGAAACAACAAGAGGAAGAAGACACAAGCTTAAGCAATAAAGTGAGGAATTTATTATTTAGTAATTTTTCAAAGAGTTCTGCAATTTCAAAAGCAAAAAGGGCAGCTATTCAAACACAAAAATCTGTTGTTTTCTAGCTTTAATTCTGTCTCTGCTCCCTCCTTTTCCCAATTTCTAAACAACAGATTGGTCCCACTCATAATCAAAAGCTTCTTTTTTCCTCATTACTTTCTTAACTCCATTTCCAATTTATTTAAGCAAACACTGACCTTAAATCTGCATCTCCACTCTCGTTGCTTCCTTCAGAAGGAATTTTATCCATAGGATCTGTTCAAATATGCTTTCCCTCCCACCTTCACCGCCACCACCACCACCACCACCACCAGCTTCTCCGCCGCTGCCACTACCGCCACAGAAGCCCACCACCCCAGTTTCTCTAGATCAAATTGTCATATCAAGGCCAACCATAAATCTGCTGGATCCTGCATCACATAAAGTAAGCCATGATGCTAAAAGCTTTGGAAAGCCATCAATTCTCCTGCAGTCTCATCAACCTCGCCGGACCAAACCCGTGATATGGTGTGTTGCAATCCTCTGCCTCATATTTAGCCTTGTCCTCATCTTCTTAGGAATAGCTACTCTGATAATCTTCCTTGCCATAAAACCAAGAAACCCAGTGTTTGACACTCCTAATGCAAGCCTAAACACCATCTATTTTGACTCACCAGAGTATTTTAATGGTGACTTTGTCTTCCTTGCAAGCTTTTCCAACCCGAATAAGAAAATTGATGTGAGATTTGAGTACATTGACATAGGGCTGTACTTTAATGACAAGCTGATAGCAACTCAAGCCATTCAACCTTTCTCTCAAAGAAGAGGAGAAGCAAGGTTGGAGTCAGTTCACCTGTTATCAAGCTTGGTATATTTACCATGGAATCTAGCTATGGAACTAAGAAAGCAGGTTATGAGCAACAGAGTCCAGTATAACATCAGGGGAACTTTTAAGGTGAGAGCCACTCTGGGTCGGATCCATTTCTCCTACTGGTTGCATGGGACATGCCAGTTAGAGATGACTGGTCCTCCAACTGGTGCTTTAGTTTCACATACTTGCAGAACAAAGAGATGAAGATGAAGATGCAGAGCATTTATTCATTCACTTTTCCTATTTTCAATTTGGTTAAGTGTCAATGTAAAGAATATCCTCTACATCAAAGAGATGATAACATTTGTTAACAATTTCATTCGAGTTATTGTAGAATCTCAAATTCCATTAACAGAATAAATAGTTTAGATTCCATCAGTGTGTTTTTTGTTGATATGTTTACTGAAGTAGTTCAACAACAAAGAGAGTTTTCAGTCATCAATCCGATGCTTATAAAAAAGTGACTGGATACATTATGCAATAAAGAAAACAACAAGAGAAATCAGCTTAATTGAACCTTGGATTTTAATCACATATCTAATACAGCTTTCTAACTGCTTATCAAACAGAGGGGAGGGGAGAAGGCAGCTGTTAATTGTATCTGAATCATTAAATCTCAAAAAACAAGTAGATTAAATTTTAAATCCTTCTTAGTACTAAATGAAAAGACACTCATATCAACGACCTATTAATCCAACTGGAAAGAATTATATTCTCTTTAAATAAAGTCTCAAATTTGAGTTTTATAAATAAAAAAACATGTGTTAAAAGGGTTTCTCTCCTCATGGATCTGATGCTACGTGATTAAAAAATGAGACACTCATAATCCATTGTCAACAAATCATTTATTTATTCCTACACTTAATATGTAGCTTTTCCGGACCCTTTTACAGGAAATACTTTAGTAAGACACCATCAAGAAGATAGCTCAAAAGCAGCGCCAGTTATGCACCTATACAATAATTTTAAAATACTCCATATTTAAAGAATTAAACCCTTAGATACCAGCAATTATGCTTACAATACAATTTTAGGTTGAGAAAGGGGAAAAGCAGCAAAACCTTGAGCCCCGTGAACAGCATCAGACATTCCAAGAGGAAAGTTGAGCTTCTCTAGAAACAAAAGATAAGCAGAAATTTTCTAAAATTTTTAAGGTACCAGTAGCTCACTGATACATTATCCAAAATTTCAAAGATACAATGTCCACATTGTAACATGTTTCAAAACCTATAACTTCATTTCTCACATTAATATAAAGCACAAAATTTTGAGAAAGAAAGACTAACGAAGTATGAACAGACTATTTCATTACTTCCTTCATCCGGCATCAGCTTCTGAAGGCGTGTTCGCCATAATAGATAAAGCATGCAATCCACTATGCAACTCATCATGCAACAGACCATATATTAACGGTAAAATTCCCAATTTGGTCCTTCAACTATTGCACAGACCTCAATTTAGTCCCTAAACTAAAAAAATCCTTAATTTTGTTCCCACTGTTTGCCAATTTGATCCCAAGTTCATCCTTTTGTATAAAAGCAGATGATATGTCTCATTATTAACATGACATGTGATAGTTAAATAATAATTTTTTATTATTAAATAACGGATATGTCAACTATCATTTGACAAAAAGACTAATTTGGGATCAAATTGATAAACAATAAAAAAACAAATTGAAAGTTGGTACAATAGTTGAGGGATCAAATTGGAGGTTTAACCTATATTAACCTATTCCTCTTTATCAGACTCTTCCCTTCAAATTGCTTTGAAACAATTCTCACGTTAAAATGTGTCTCCCCCTCATTACTGGCCTTCACACCAGCATTCCCAGCATGCTGATAAGAAATATCCTCCAATTCAAGTTCAACAGGATTAAGCCCCTTCTCTAGCTTCTCCTTTACCCTCATTTCTCTGCTCCCTCAGTTTGAACTCGTACTAGAATTTTTTTCACTTACCTTTTCAGAAGTCAAATCCTCACCGTCGCTATCAGCACTGAAGCTCCAAATCGAACTTCCACCAGTACTCCGATTCTCAAGACAGTTTGACCCTGAATTTGAAGACCCAACATCCTTCTCAGCCTCCACTAGCAACTCAAGCGCTTTTCTTTGCATCAGTTTCAGCATATTCAAGAATCCATTATTCCTCGAGGGTGTCAAGCTCTGTTGCAGGCCAAGAAGCACAGCAAAATCAGGAGAGACCCTCAAAATCTCTTCCACAGGCCTCCCAGACAAGCCATTGACAAGCAAAGCAGCAAGCCCCTTGGTGAGAACAGAATCAGAATCCGCCTCATGCAAAACGTTCTTATGTTCATCGAGATAGGACCTGACTCAAACCTGAGAGACACAACCCTCCACCTTGTTCTCTCTAGTTTTGAACCAGTCATCCAGCGGCTTCAAGTTTTTAACATAGACATTAGCTGCTCGTACTTGGCCTTAGGTTCCTGCACGGACTGGAAAAGCCTGATGATTTCCTGGAGCTTCGGAGGAAGGTCTTCAATGGGTTGCAGGTTTGTGGTGCTCGAAGGAGGAGATGGTGATGATTGTAGTTGAGGTGCATTCTTTGTGGGGATTTTCTGGAAGGAGATGGGTCGAGGAAAGAAGTCGAAATTTTCATGCTTTTTTGTTGGGCGCAGAGCGATTGGGCTTCTTCTGGTTGCAAATATTCGAAGAGAAGCCATTGTACATGACATCTTTTAAAAGACTGTAAATTTTACGCATAGAAGCAAACTTTGATTGAGGGGTGTGCGACCAAGCTCAGAAATGATAGAAAAACAAAAGATTGAAAACTTGAATTTATGAGAAAGTGAGGGGGGAAAACCCAGAAGAAATATACAAAGAAAACCAAACC